CTGAAGAAGGCTTTCAATAATTTTGCGTTATTTCGTCGAGTCGCCGTGTCAGTACAAAGGCAAACTATCTAATATTTGCCGGCTGTGTTTGCACGAGAGAGTTCTGATCTGTCCGGTTTTACCATGCCGCTCCATCCATTTTTCACTTCTATCTGCATATTAAGTCTCGTTTCTTTTACTCAATTTCTTCGAAAAACGTTTATTCTACTAATGGCTGATACGAGTTCACGAGAATTTATGTATCCGTTCTCTCCATCCAACTGTTCAACAGTCGAAAAGGTATTCCAGAGCACAGGAAATTATTGAAAAAAGAATGAGATAAAATAGATGATGAGAATTTATTCAGTAGGTTTTAAATGAGAGATGTTGAAAATAATTTTAAATCACTATTGAAATTCTCAAATCCAAGGGGATGAGTTAATTTCTTTATCCAACCGTGGGTTAAATGTGATTATGATATGCTTGCTGGAGATGAGCATTGGGGATTTAGGGAACGATCAATAGGGATTCTACGATAATATAAAATTGAATGTCAGTGCTCTCATCCTGTGCCTGTCTGCCAAAGATACCATTTTAATCTCCACCACCGTTCTAGTTAGCAGCCCATAAAAATATTAAACATATTCACAAACTAATTTACTTTTAAATCTTTCAATCCAATAGCACATAGCAGATTACAAAAGGGATTTGATTGTTCCATGCAAATAATTCACATGATTTCATTATTCCACAATGCGAACACTGAAAGCACTCAGCCTACTAAATTTTATTCATCAATTATTTTTGGATTAATGAGTTTAATACACCGAGAGGAAATTCTTTCAAACAGAATACCATTCGCAAAATCAATAAATCAATAAATAAACCAAGTACAATATCAATTAAATGGCGTAGCCAGAAGCATTCTTTCCTAAATAGAGAAGACATAGCATAAAGTCTAAAAATACAACTTAGCTTATAGAAATCTCGATTTGTCCGAGATAGCTGAAGGAAATGAGAGTGAAATTCCTTAGGACGAAGCAGTTGATAACAACTATGACTGTTTTATCTCATCGAAGATTTTCCCTCCCTTCTTGGGTGCACCTCTCCATGCAAATTTCCGAATACCCCGGAGGGTACAGTATTAGAGTTTTGTCCTGGAAGCCATTTTTTAATATCGAGAACAGTTGCCCGATCACGGTTTTCAAGTCATCTTCTCCGTCGTTCAATCCCCCCTCGATTTTCCGCTCCTTTATTTTTTCCTCAATCATCTGCTGGACTCAGTCGTATCACGCCCCGTCGAATATCACTTTCTTTGTAAGCATTTTTTAATCAACCCCACCATTCGATGTGCCAAGTGATGAGCACACGATGCTCCTCAACGATCCTCAACGAAAAACCTTATTTTGATTTCAATTAATCACAGACGGTGCGCCTCATCAGTAGAAGTTGAGTCCATTGTTGTCCACGGTTTGAGATAATAGCCATCAAATGGATACCACCCATTGCGGATGGTACAGAGAAAATAACTAATTTCTTGGCTGGCGGTGTATTATATACAAACCAGACAATCTTTTCATCCTGCGGTTGGAGGAGCCCATGAAATATCGAGAAAAGAATTGAGGTAGTCAACAAGGGTGGGTGGAGCTGATGTACAAAACGCGCGTGGTGGCTGTCTCGATAATAGCACAAGAGAGTGAGAGAGGACAATGGAAACAGCAGACGCTCCAGCCACGATTGTCTCCAAAACCAGATGGGAAAGGAGTGACTTGGAATCTTCGTCCTTCACTCTTCGATGTGCCAGGTATATTACCGGGGTTGGCGCGTTGATTATCGTCTTCCACGCACCCTTCGAACATTTCCCCTCATCCCAACAGAGATAATAACACCATTGAATTTATCCACCAATGAGGAAAATCATGAAACAACCAGAGAGTACAGAATTTTTTATCTCCTTCCACAGGATATAATGGAAAATCTCCCTCTATTGTAGCTATTTTAGCTATTTTTTATTTTTTCTCGTCATCCTTTTCGCTGGGATAACAGCCAAATTCAAGGGACACCTATGGGTAAAAAAGTGTCGAGATAGTTTGGTATTTTCCATACTTTTTCTCTCAACTGAATGTGTTCTTTCATGCTCTGCCAGGAAACAGTCCCATGAGCAGAGGAAGAGCCAAAATTTATGCTAGCCGCTCATTCTTGTCGTGCTTTGTATGCATCCCCCTATGAGAGAAGTTCTAGGCAAACCCACCGTGCTCATACAGTACTACAGCATCATCCAGGCACCTGTCTCACGGGATTCTCGGATTCTGAATTCTGGGCTTCAACCAACTACCCTTTTCCTTCCCAAAACCTGTTTTACACTGTTTCGTACACACGTTTGCCTATCGTCAACGCGTTACCACGGACTTGTACTCCTGTCGGCGGGCGCTATTTCACCAGGTTGATATATATGCTTGCGTTATTCCCCTAGTACTAGTCTTTAGACATTTCCCGGGCGACCATTTTGCCTGCTCCTCAGAATTATGGATACGGAGAGTTTAAGTGAAGTGTTCGCGCCGAGGAATTTCAAGGATTAGGGGAATGGGAATAGTGCAGTTGAGGTGATGGCGGAGAAAATATTATGTCAGTGATTAAAACACAATTCTCCTAATACACAGCGGAAACAAAACATAAGAGGGAATGAGAAAGTGTAATTGACGGGAAAAAGGTGCGAGTGGATGAAACGGGTAAATCTATTAAACTGAAAATTTCTTCGGGACTAATACGCGACAGCATAAATTTATTATAAAATTTTTTGCGTACGTGTATGGATATGGTATAATCCCCTCTACGTCTGAATTCTCCGAGTACTTCTTCGAAGTATGTTTACGTGATATTTGGTCATTAATTAGCTAGACGAGTTATGACATTTTTGATTAATATATGAGACATATAATGACCGAATAATCATACTCGCACAGATAAAATGATTAAAAGTGCACTTCAACACAGCTGATCAGAAGCTTCTGCAATAAAGTTGTTCTACTTTCACCGAGACATATAATCAGCGTTGAAATCTATTCTAACTGAATGGCATTTCAATCTTGAAATGAAGCAGATATTTTTATAAAATTCTAGCCTATCCTACATTCTATCCGGCGTTGCTTGGGTGATAGTCATTGAAACCTTGTTGAATGTGCAAATCTAAAGAGAACTCCATTTGTATACATTTTTACTTAATGAAGACGTACATGCGAATTTGTAAATCCCCGATGTTTCTGTTAATTTATGTCTAGCCATGCATAAAGCAACCCTCCGGCGTAATTAACCCATTTTTCAAAATATTGATATTCCGTGCCCTGCTCACCACCAGTATTTTCATATTTATATCTCGCATTGCGTGGAACGGTTGAATGAAGGAGCTTCAATAAAAAGAATATTTCGATATCAATATATGATTACCATACATCGCATCCTGAATGTTAGAATGTGTTTACGCGTCACTGACGATATTCAATGAATCATTGGAAGAAAAATTGGTGAATTAATTAATATCAAAACTGGTAAATCACTCACTCAACCGGTAAATCACTAAATTAATTGTTCACTCATCATGAGCATTACTGATAAAGAAAACTCTACCAATTTTTTATCATGAAAATGGTAAATTTGTGTTCTGGTACTCATTGGAATTTCACTGTCTTTTTTTTTACTATAAAAAAAATTGGAGCAGAATAATTCAACCTGAACACAAACATCGATTTTCCCTCCATTCCATCATGTTATGCTAATCCAATCAATAAAATATACTAGATTGAAGCATACATGATTTTTTGATAAACAAAGTATATATTCCGACTGACAAAAACTCAATGAAGCCTGAGTGACCAGTGGCCTGACTTGAATCAATTCAAAAATTATTTTTCACTGGATATTAGTCTTCGGCATGAAAGCATGGTTTGAATGTACATCAACATAGGAAAGGAACAGTACCGTGGGGGTGGAAATACAGTGGGTGGAAGGGTTGGTAAAAAAAAAGGAAAATAACATGGGAACGAGTTGAGCACGGAATGCCAGGAGACGATGGCCGGCTAACACGTAATAGCAATCATTTTACTAATACACGGAGGGTGTTCTCCCCACCACCACCTTCACCCCCTTTGATGGATTTTTTTACACTGTGTTATGGACTTTGTCGTGAAAACCTAAATACTGGCAAAGGATTGACTGACGCTGGCTTTCAAACTGAGTTCGCATTTATGTTACATTTCTCTTCTACTTCCATTTTCTGGATATTATTAATGGTCCAGGATAAACAAAGGCAGCAGAGGAGATAGAGCAAAATGCAGATGCGGTGGACGAAGTGACGCATGTACGTCGGTTGCATCGGTCCATTGCCTCAGTTAATCGGCCTGTGGGCTGTTGTGGCAGGAGACGTGAGTTAATAGAAAACTCGATGGGGTCGATATCATGAACCCTTAAACGTTCCTGCGATAGGTGTGATACCAGGGCTAATGGTCAATTTTTTTGGTGTTGCTTCATACCTGTTAATCAATATGATCTCGTTGATGATGAACCGCAGGGTAAGGCAGGTCAATTCAACCCGTGGTCACCGGATTTGGTGGCTATCGCCAAGCTCTTCAGGTTTACTAGTTCAAAGCTTCTCTCCATTTTTCCACTTTCCATCCAACCTCATCAACCAATTTAGCTATCTCTCTCTAAAGCCACTGATAATGCCGCTGGTGGTGGATGACGTTGGCTATCGCATCATGCAGCAGCTGGAGTTACGGGCCAACGGGTGGCCGAGTGGGAATTATGTCAGGCGAGCCTGAGGTTTGATCAGAACTTGATATCGCGATGGTCAGTGCCAACTGATCAGGTAGAACTTGATAAAAAAATGATTAGTCTTCGATTTGCCCAACCTGATCTGTCCTACTCTGATCAGGTTCTGGTTGGCTTAATTTGACCTGAAACTGAGCTGTTTGTCTGTAATTATTCTGGTTAATTTCAGATCAGGTGGGCCTGAATTTGAACTGTGATCCATCCGCCTGCAACTATTCGAATCAGATTCTGATCAGATCAACGTGACCTGAAGCTGTCTCAGCAATTATTCAGATCAAGTTCGGATCAGGTGAGCTTAAGCTAAATAATTTGATTATTAACTTATTATTATTCTTATTATTATCAAAAGTATAATAGGTGAAATTTTAATCGAGTAAATTTTTGTTTGATCAAGTTGTAGGATCAGTACCTGACCCAACACCAAGTCTGACTTGATCCGAACTTGATCCAGACCTGAACTAATTTTCCACTCGGGTGTACGGGCTGGCGAGAAGCTTTTACGATCTTCGTTAGAGCCCATCACTATTCTCCCCGTAATTCTCCCTCTACGCACCTCGAGCCCCGTAACTAACCATTATAAGTAACGGGGCGCATGTGCAGGGCACACTCTGCTAATGGATAAATCCAAGGGTTGAAGTAGGATAGGTTTGATTGAAAAAAATTTATGAACCTACCTTCATATTTAATTCACGTTATTTTGCTTACGAATTTTTGAGATCTATTGAATTCACTGAAAGAACAGTATTTAAAAAAAAACCCTTCTAACAATGATCATTCGTCTAAATTGAATTGTGCAATCGAATTGTGTAATCGAATTGTGTAATCGAATGTTAGAAGTTCAAGGTTTCTGCCATAATTTCCATCAATTTTCAACTATTGATTAATGGGATGGACGGTATTCCTAGTTTATTGATTTTTAATCAATATGCCAAACTCTAACCAGTCGATAATTTTGTTGTATCATTTTGTGTTGCAGGAGTGAAGCGAGAGAACTGCGTCGGAAATTCTTGGAAAACTAAAGGTAGAACCCCCTGTATAGTTTTGACGATACAATCGCGGAAACCCGATACTGCACTGAGGTCTTAACTGCTTTTGCTTCCACCGCGTCTTTAGAATTGTCCTCTACTGCTAGTGTAATCACGAACAAAGAGGAAGTTCAGAGTGAGAAGAAGTAGAAGGAGAAATTATTCGGGCATCACAGGGATCTTGCCCTCGATTATTCCCGGCTTTATCACGAATGAATACGTTTAGATTTCTTAGTAAGTTCTTGTGAAAAACAAAAATGCTCAACAAATATGCAAATCGAGTTGAAAGTGACTGGCAAATAAACTTTAAGAAAAGACGTTTAGTTTGTACTATGTGGGAAGTTGTAGAATAGTCCCCGAGAGTTTACCAAGATTGTTGGCTGGAGCCAACTCCAGTTGTTGTCCTAACATTCAGCAAGGGTTTCTATTATAATCCAGTAGAGATCTAATTAGCAAAGTCGTTGAATTATCTAAATGGATTTTCTTGAAAAACTGTACTCTACTTTTGACCACTAAAGCCTAGTAAAAAAAAAATAAAGGCAAACATCGCGTAATAATTCCAACCCAATAGTCAAGGTTTCTGCCATATAGTCGCATATTGAATCATCAGCCGCTATTTCAACAGAGCAAAATAAAGTTAATGAAAAAATCATCACCAACGCGACTATTCTCATCCCTCCGTCCCCCAACAAACACCTATTCCTCAACCGGGGTTGACATTATCAGTGACCCAAATCATTCCATCATATTACTCACTAAGTCCTCCGGACCTTAAATACCCTAGACAGGCACATTCATAATTATCCTCTCCCCCTTTCCCATCCAAAACAACCTCAACACCTTGCTAATGTTCCTCTTAGCCTACCTCCGTCCCCTGACGTCACAAAAACCGATACACTGATAACGCGTGTTTCGATAATGATCGACTTGTTACAGAGTTTTCCCTCGGGAATTGCTACTCAACGAACACTCGACGAACACTACACGGTATATTGATTAGGCACCATTAGGTACTGGAGGAGAGACGAAGGAGTGCTTGTACTCACAAGGGAATTTGTGTTTAGCGGATGGTAAAGTATAGGAGTACCCACCGAAGCCCCCCCATGTCCCCCTCCCAACCATATATGTTTTTCGTAGCTTATCAGTCACGATAAAATGCGCATTTGTACACGTGTATGTCGCACTCGCGCGACGAACTACACGTTGTCGAATGAATTATGTCCGTAACGCGTGCTGCAACCACACCCCCCTGAGGTCCTCACAGAGGGCCGCATTATGTGTCGTTCTCCCATGCAATCTCTCCATTCCACGTATTTTTTTTTTACTCACGTACCTCTCTCTCCCCGGACATTTGTATTTGTGCATCGACGTTGCAAATTGAGCTTTAGTCTGTACCTCGCACGCACATTACGTCACACGTACAGGAGGGATGACGCCCATTGAAATTCACCGAGATAGTACCCAGGATAATTTCAGTCCTTTCATCCCTCGGCGAACTTTTCATACTCTCTTCTTGTCTTGTCTGCCTCTTTGGTCGCTGCGTTTTAATTTCATTCTTCATTTTTTTTTGTGTGTGTCTTTCTCTTTGCCCCCCCCTCCCTCCTCCCCCTCTCTGCCGCGCAAATGTACAGAAAGAGGCAATGTTATACATGATGTTGTTACGTACAAATGTATTTGTGCCAAGAATACGCGTGCGGCTTCTCATTCCGCCCAGGGGCCATAAATAATCTCGAAACATGAATATCAAAACGCCTACCGGCGAGCCAACCGCTGTGACACACACGCACTGCGTTCATGTATCGAGTAAATGTATGTGTGAGACTCGAAGGCCGAGTACTTGTATTTGGAAGAAGAGTAAGGACACTTGAGTGGAGACTACAGCACTTCATGAGCCGCGTTTTTTTGAGAAAATAGACATTGTGGAGAAAATGAAAAGAGGAGGAAGATGTTGTTCACTCACCACCTGTATGTGCGTACACATAATCACGCCTTTTGGGGATAATTAGGATTCTTTTTTCCTTGGAACATCAAAGGTATGAGTACACGGCTCAATTCGTCCCTAGACGCATACCGGACGAGAGAGGGCTGGTTTTGTGTTATTGTGAGTTAAAGGAGTAAGGGTCAGGATGTTTCATGGTTTTCATCACAGGTAAATTCGTTCACTGCAGGGTTGCGCCCTTTGTTTCAGAGATGAATGGAATTTTCAGCATGTTACAGTGGTTTTGTTTGGTTTCTATTCCCCAAAGTAATTGAATTTCCGAGATTTTCTTATCTTCGTGAAATCGAGCCATGATTTGTGGCTTTTTGTATTCATACCTTCCTGGGTGAAGAAAACATTCTTCAAAATCACAAGAGAAGAAACGAGTGACATGCAAATGCGTCTCGTGACACCGAACAATCGGGAGTGGCTTCAAGGGTGGAAGGAAATTACTGTCGCTTTGTATCCCCTGCTCTACCGCCATAAAACAACAGTATTTAGATATTTTTTTATCATAAAATGCCACGAGTTATGTGAAAGGTCATTTGCAAACTGGGCCGCGTCAAATATTTCTGAAAATTACAATAGTCAGATAATATAATTGCAACAACCATTTTGTATCAACCTAATATTAAAATAAACTGTAAATTAAAAGGACGGCATTTGCTTTGAACTCTGCAATAAGCGAGAATCTAAATCGCTAATGCAAGCTGGCACACGATAATTACCACACTCTCCCCCGATTCCATGGTTTTATCGCTCTGAAATACCGACTGTGTTAAATGCCTCAGCTCCGAGTGTTGGCATTAGTATCGAAAAATAACCGGAACTTTGGTGTGCGCGAAACGTGTCGGTTTATGCTCATTTTTATGGTCAATGATTGCAAGGTACGTTAAATAAGTATCGACCGATCGTCTTGGCTATACTGTCGTAACTGGATTGAACGATCGCCCCGAGAGAAATGGGCGCCAAAATGGCTCATCCTACGGTCATACCCGAGGCACTAATCGTTTTTCCCTTGAGACACTACGAGAGACAATTTTACACCACAAGTCATTCCAATGTTACCTGTTTTTTTGTGCCCATTGTGTCTTTGTGACACTACGAAACCACGATAAAACCCATCGGGTGTAACAACAGTGTCATTATGCCCCACGATTGCCTCATAAATATCTCGGCTTGCTCTCATCGATCCCTTATTTTCAGAAACCCCCCCTGTTCCCTGTTCCCTCACCACTCCAATATATATACAACATCTTGAGTCAACAGTACAGCTCGCGAGTTTACCGTTTTAACTTTATAGGAAATAAAGAGGAACATATTTATATCCATACCGATAATGATTTATCATGGAATACCGCGCAAGTGCAGTATGTCTTAATTTTTTTATTCAATTCTCCCCACCTTTCCCTGAACTCCTCTCGCCGGCATTTATGCCGTTAGAACGCGCGAATGCATCCACCGTATACACTAACCAATTTCAAGGCAATACCGACTGCAACAGCGAAAGATATAACGGTAAGAAAAGTCAGCAGAGGAGTTTAAAAGTTATTCCCGCACAGAACTGTTTCGATGTAGAAACACCACTGAAATCAGCGGCCTGCATCTGTGTATGTATCCAGGAGGTGTCTCCAATCCTCCCCTTCAGCCCCTTCAATCGCTTTTTTCAACTGGTAATATCGACATATTGCATCGTAACACGGAAAAATGTGTATATCGTTGAGAATTGTGACTAGCCCCCATTTCGATACTTTCGGAAACATATATGAACGTTAGAAAATGTCCCTCATTGCAGGCTGGTCACGTGTGTATGTCCACGAGAGGATGAAAAAAAAGGAAGTTGAATGCCTCACAGCGTGAAACCAGTCGTGGGGGTTTGAGTGCAACATTCAAGTGCATATACGATTTCAAAGTGTGCAAGGAGACTCCATCACTGGCATTGCGGAAGACCATCGACTGAATATTGGAACTTGCCGATCTTTCTCTCTTCTTGTTTGATTTTTTTTTTTTTCTTATTCTCCCCAAGCGATGTTTCTCTCTGTTGCTCTTGCGAGACCATCTGATGAGATAAACATACTGGCGTGTAGAGGTAAATCACATACGTGCTTGAGCACATTGCGCGTATCGTCGCCCATAAATAGTACGGGGGAGTATCCCGGCTTTTCTGACTATTTTCTATATCGACAGGGCTACATTTTACGCGTTTCTGCAGATCATTTACGCGTTTTATTATTTATTTGGTTTATTATTTTTTTTTTTCATTGAATTGCGAACGTTAAGGTGCGATTCACTCGATTAGAAAGATCGGTGAATCAGGAATGGGGAACAGGGGGAAGGGAATTATTGAGAGTTCAATGAGATATTTCACTGTAGAATCTTTTATTGATCCCACTGATTGATTTCACTTCGCGTGAAAGGTTGCCGTGAGGGTAGGGATCATAGGAGGACCAGATTGAGATATTCGTGTCTGTGCAGAAGTGCAATGTCGATATTCTGTCAAGGTGAAAGGGAGAATATAGCGGAGCCTTGATTCTCTCACGGTGGTTGTTTTCTTTCTACTCTTTTATATACCCAATATCTTTTACATCTCGTCTTTATCCTACTCTTCATAGGGGAATAGACCGTAGGAATTGAGGCAGTTAGTGATTCTTGTTTAAAGTTTTTCACTCGACTGGCTCCGTGTCACTTCGGCTATTGGTGAACACGCAATGTCCTTTTTTTTTTGCCCCATCCTCGTGCCGCACTGGCAACTGATATCCACTGACGACACGTTTCGCGTTTCGTCGCTACCAAGATTTCAGGAGATGATATATAGTGGAGAAGTTCAATTATAAATTCGTCCATTCCACATCGTTGGGGATCAGCTAAACTTGCTGAAGGGGAATTGATCTTTCGTGTTTCTACCTAGATCTCGTCCGGAGATATCATTAATTCATGGCAATGTTGGTTTGCTCAATCACTTTCACTTTTTTTAACTCTGATCCCATCTGGAGAAACAACAATATCATAATTATGAGCGATTAACGGTTTCATTAATTTAAAGTCCACCAGAGCTTGAGAATATATAATAATAAAAGCCGCTGAAATATAATTTTCAATTACTCTAAGCTTACAGATTGCCGATATCATAATCGATAATATCAATCAGTTGTTTTTATTGTTTAATATTAAATGGAGAACTGCTGACTGCATTCCTGGGATGAAAACTCGATAAAAAGGCGAAACGTCCGCAATTAACCAGCTTCTAATTCTCATTACAATTCCAACACTGCGACGTCCTCAAATTTTCATAGCCTTGCAATAATTTAGATCTCGGTTGTCTCATAAACTATTGAATTCACAAAATGAGATTGGAGCTCTCGAAATTTAGGTCACGTGTGGTTTTGGGGTAATAAGAAAATGTCAAAGGTGACAGGGCGTCAGTTGGTCCTTGTTCTTCATGGCAATGCATCCGTACTCTATCTCCATGTACCTCGTCTTCATT